TTTCTTGTTTGATAAATGAAACACTTGCAGTGCTTACAATCAGAATTTTATTATCCTTCACCATTTAATACCAAGAGAAACAATTTAATATCAAGACACTGTATTAGCTGTCAATAATGTTATCAATATTGCTTTCAAACAGATGAAGCTAATGCCTAGCAGGGCCAGGTCACTAATAAGCAGATCCCAAGGGCAGCTCATTATTGTTAAAGTGAAGAGGCTGGGCGTAACTACTTCTCTCTGTCCAGCTGCCAAAACTTTAGTTACTAAATTCACACAGAGTCCTTGCAGCAAAATGAGTGAAATCTCCCCTCAAGTTACATSTAGCATAGCACACTAAGAGGCTAAAGTCTGCATAAAGTCCATGGTTTTCAAATCTTGATACCTGATACTAGATTTGAAATTGTGACTAGAAGTTTTACAGGTATTGGAAACTTGCAACCACTGAATTCACAGYTCTCAACCACAGTGAAGGACAAGACATTGAGGTAAATTTGTAAAAGCCTCTTTTTAAAATGTTTAACTGAAATKAAAATGTTCATTTGAAAATGACAAGTTTAGTGCAAAATCTACAGTGTCTTCCATGGTCTGAACAGTTTATGTGGAAAGAAACTTTATTTCATGCAGTGATAAATTCAGTTTCCCAAAAATAAAACTTCATTTATTTTTGTGGGTATATAATAATTATTAGTAAAAATATAATTAGGCACAACATATGCATCTGTGTTCTCAAAAAGCAGTATTGTAACTAGCTGTTAATCTCTGCTTACATGAAAGCAATTTTCAAAAATATCACAATGATCCCCAGAAATTAAAAGGGTATCAAATAAAAACACATCCTTCTTAAAATAAGCAAATGTTTAAGAGTCAGATTCATTTTCAGTGCTATGAACCTCTTTGGTCAGAGTATTTCATTTTTAACATGCTTCTACTTTTGTACCTCCAGCAATTTTAAACATATATATTTTTGATTTTAACAGCTATAAAGTGACAGGAAATTTACAAATTGCTATTTTTTGMCTTTGCAATAATAAGTAGCACTATTGTATGTGTTTCCTTTCTGCACTGGCAATTTAAAAGTCTATAGTGAATGCAAGAACTCAGTGGAAAACAGAGAGAGCTGTTCCAAATAATCTCTTGACAGAAGTCTACTTCCTTCAGCACCTGAAATTCTCACTGTGCACTAGTGAAACATAGGCACTCCACCACAGAAAACAATACGAACAGGCATTTGCAAGAGCCTCTTAAAATACAGTTTGCCCCACCTCCTTTCAACACTAACACAACACAGAATATAATAAGGTACACSTTTCTGATCWGGAAYGCTCAACAGTTCTCTAAAATGCTCRCAGTCTGCTTCCGACACAAGAGCCCTTGCTGTCAGAAGCCCCATGAGACTCAGACATGTCCTGGGGTTTGGCCACCTCAAGCTTATGTGGGTGTTCCCTGTCAGGCAGCCTCAAGAAAAGTCTCACAGGGAAACCAGAAACTGCTGGTCTAGGCCAGTACTTCTCAAGGAAGTAAAAATTAAGCTCACAAAAAAAAAMCAGGTATCATAAATTGCAGAGTAGGGTCAGACTCAGCTGTCCTTCAGCAGGGCCAGGCATTCTGACAGAATGAGAAACCAGAATTGACAGAATAGTCTGAAATGAGTCCTTTTGACTGATGCTATGACTGCCAGCAAACCAAGTGAACTCCTGTAGCCCAGCATACAGAGAGTATAAACTGATACTCCCACTCTTCCTCCCCCTTCCCTGACATTCCACCACAGCTGCACATGGAGGACTCCAGTTTAACCAACGTTTGTTGTAGCTGCCTCCTATGTCCTGCCACACTTTTTTGCTGTTAGACCTTTCTTTATCCATTCCTACTGAGAATGAACATTGAAAGCTAAGAAATAAAGGATTGTGTAATGCTGTATTTAGGACCCAAAGTGTGAGCTACAGGATACGTCAGCAGAGGAGAAATGAAAACCTGAATAAAGGTATTAATGAGAACAGTACTGAGATGAAGTAGTATCATCTTTCTCCTTTATATATGCTTTGCTGAATAAATAAATGATTACCACATAAGGTAAAGGAAGTCTATTCATTCCTAGTCCTAAAGCAGATGCAAACAGCTTGACAAACTTATAGCTGCAGGGGACTCTTAAGTCACGGCTCATTACTAGGGGCAAACAAAAATGCTCACATGAACTTTAGTATTCACACTCAACACTGTGAAACACTGGAACGTAATCAATTTACTAAAGATAGCTSTAGCTAGGATGCTGGGAGGTACAAATGCTTCCCAAACTTCTTTGACTTGACATGACATGGCAAGGATCACCATTCTAAAGCACATGACACTCGATCTTCTGTCCCCTTGCTGCTTCTAAAAAAGCAAGCTGGTTTCCTTTCAGTTTTTCTTATGTCTTCTGTGCCCTGATGCAAAAAATAGAACTTGGACAAATAAATGGATTGCTCTAAAGATAGGATTCAGGGGGGTAGCCTTCAATTCAATAGGAAAAGGATATAGAAAGTTTGCAACTACTATTTTAGTCTCTAAATTAGAACACTAGCTCTTTTGTGAAGTATCCGAAACATCTGTGCAAACAAACATAAAGCAGGACAAAACTGTTCCTCCCCCTAAACTGTCTCCTCCCACAACATGCYATATTTTGCAGATGTAAGAACACCTTCCCTGTTTGCATACACTCTGGTTAGTCATTCTTCGTGTGGTGAATTAAAGTATAATTCTTAGGCTGAAGCAATATAGAGATGAGACCTCAAGATGCATTACCCAAGGAAAAATATAGAGCTGAGGGAATCACACTTGCTACTCACACTGTGCACRCCCAGAGCCTTCCAGATGGCAAAACTCAGCAATCCAACTCCGCACCATGCGTAGAGTGAGCCCCATCCCAGGGCTCGTAAGGCCAGTGATGAACCACTCTCTGGTAGTGCAGCTGTGGCAGTAATACCCTAGAACCAAAGATGAAGAGATTATGACAAAGTGAACAGTAACTGGAAAAAAAAAGAACTAAAAAAGTTGGCAATTTAGATTTTTTCCTGACTTGCCAGTTGTACTAGTGTGACTACAGAAAATCTTATGGCTGTCAGCACACCTGAAGAGCCAAGCAAGGGGCCGGATGAACTGCCTTCCTACCAGGAGCAGCTTTCACGGCTGCCAGKGCCACCTGGGGATGACTTTCATTGCCCAGAAACACCAAAGTCAGCTGTTTCATGGGCACAAGAATCCAACATTCAGTTATCTCACCAGTCAAAATAAAAAAGTGAATCAAAACCAGTCCCAAGCCTTTATGCCAGTGAGAGCTGAACACGATCATGGTATGTCATTGGTTTTGGTACTTTTTCATGGGAGGCAACCAGTGGCCTATAGCTCTTTATCTGCACTTCAGAAACAGCACATTGGGAAACTGCAAGAACATGAGCAGCTTTCATCTGGACATGGAAAAGGTGTAACCATGACCCAGGAACTACCTTCAAGGAGCTACAACTCTGAAGAAGCTCTGGAAACTATTTAGGAAAATTCTGYAAAAGCAAACAACACTGAACCCATCCCACTGCAGAGTTCACTAAGCAGCAACACTGAAAATGCTCTGTGGTCTCCACACTTCTCATTTTTGTCAGAAGACACCTGCAAGAGTATTTTTAATCACTTGTTAAGATACTGCTGCACCGAAGTCTGCCATGGACATGTCCTGAAAACACAAAATACTGTCACTTGGAAAAGCCACCTTAGGCCAAGAATGGAATCTCAGCCATGATGAGGTCCAAACTGCAATGAAACTTTCTCTGGCACAGCACATAAATGTACACTGGAGCTTCCAGGGGCACCAGGCACATGATGGGTGACATCAATCCATGTGCACCTCACACTCACTGCCAGCCACTCTCGTCTCACAATGCCCACCACACTGTACCTATCTGGCACAGCAGGGCTTCAACCCTTGCAGCGCACAGCATCAGTGAGACACAATTCTCCTGCACATACTGGAAACTGCCATTCAGAGGGTTTTTCCCCACAGTGAAGGATCACTGTTTAATTCTTCACATGGAAACACAGATTCCAGATGGTAATTCTTAAAGATGGGCATCCATGGTCCTTACACAACTCAACAGTTCTACATACTGGGGTATTTTGGAAAAAAAAACCTAATTCTTGCTCAGAATAACATACATCAGATTGCACACATAAAATTATATCCAGTAAAAAATTATTTAATTTATACTCTAAAACACTGAAAAGCRAAATTAACTTGTGGAAGGATCACAAAAACTTTTCTCCAATACATGCCAAAGAAAAACATTCTTTTACTCATCACAAAAAAGGGGGGGAAAGTCTTTTATATTCTTGCTTTTAAAAAGCTTTACATTTTTGCTTTCCTATTTAAATGCCTCTTTTTCTTCTTTGATACAATTAAACATAGTTAGTGTCTACCACTATGGTCAGTCAAACAGCACCAGCAGTTTTTCTCCTCTTGGCTTTATATTTATTGAAATGTTAAAATGATCCTCAGWCAGTCCTCAGGATTGACACTTTCCCTTAGCTACCCAAGGACAAGCACACACTTGGAAAGGAAACAAGTAAAACATATCTTGACCCTTATTTATTCCAATTTGAACATCCAAAAGTGGAAGCTGTTAATAAAAACAGTGCTCTGTAAGCATACACACACACAAACAGCACAGATCTCTAGTCACGCTATAATACCAGGTCCTATTATCTCCTTACCAYAGATAATGAACTATTATAGCTCTTTCAGCAGAGACTGCTCTGAGCAGATTTGAAATGTTGATTATTTTTGACATTTTTCCTGCTTCTATAGTCTAACCACATATATCAACACTGTGAAAAAAATTGCCCAATTTGGAAGATGGGAAATGAATGGACAAAAATATCCTCTACACAGAATCTTTAAATAGGAGTCATTATCTGTGGAAATTGCAGGCAAAAAACCCACCCGAGTACTATTTAAATGCTTGATTGTCCCAGAAAAACAGCAGTAAATGGAAACAATTGATCTGGTTTTACTAACTGCAGTCAAACACGGCTCAGTCACAGGCTGATTCCTTAGGGTAATGGTACTTAAGTACACAGATAAGGGTTTCTGTAAACAGGACACTTGGTTAAATGATTATTAGATATTCTGTTCAGAGTATCAAGAAAACTCATTAATGAAATGCCAAAAAATTAAAAAGGACAACAGTAGCATGGGAGAAAAAGATGTCACCAACAAAACACCATTTTTAAGAGAATTAAGTTTTATTCACTAATCTGTTATTTTATATTCAGCCTGTTTTCTCATCACTCCCGCCTCTATTTTTTTTTATTATTTGATTTAAAAAATAAGCTTTTAAACAATATTTGAATCATTCCAAAAAAAACAGGCTAGAAAAAAATAGGGCAGGATTAGCTGATTTGTTTTCCAAACATATGCTGCTTTTTTTGTTTTGTTGGTTGTTGTTGTTTTGTTTTTCTCTGGAAGATATAAACAGGAAGTGGGAGAAGAAAAAATAGTAACGTTTTTTTATTCAAACACAGGTCTTGATCCTGTAACTGTCCCCTTGAGTGTAGAGTGTGTCCAAAAGGAAGCAGTGCCTAAAATAAAGAATGTTCAATAGTTTTGGTTGATTGTATTCAGCATGTCCTCTATTTTATGTGACCTAATCCATTGTAAAATTAAACACCTGGCTAAATGCTGGTAAAACTGGACAACTTCTCACAAGGAGGCTGCTGCAGCTGAGCATTTAATTTTAACACCCTCCTCCCCAGTAATTTCTTCACTGAAGGTTTCCCCAGTGGTTCATCACTAAACAGTATAATGTAATTTCAGTTTTTAAGTCAATTTGGGCATGACTCCTAATAATGCTTATATTTACTTTAATTCACTACCACAGTGGGTACTGCATAGTACTACAGTAGGTGCAATTTCAGCTTTATCTCTTGCTAGTAACACTGGTGCTACTCTACAAGAGCAGGGTCTCATACTGTTGCTTCCTGAACGCAGTCATGAACGCAGCCATGACACTGTGAGACTACAGGTTCCCCTCTAAATTGCCTTGGTTTTTTTTTTCTCCCCTAAAACTGTTTCAATCTAACCCAGGCTGCATTACGTTTGCTTCCTGTTTCTACCTGACTTGCAGGACACCATTTCACAGACACAAAAACTGGCATGAGGCAGAAAAGGTGCTGAAATAATAGGTCTCACATTTCTTCCTAAACACTAAGCAACAATTCTCATTCCTTCACATGTTCCCCCAAGTTTGTGCCAGCATAATCACTGTAGTTGCACAGTGAAGTGGATTAAATGACTGATTTGGACTAAAACTAATGAAGGAAATTTAAAAAAAAAACCATTAATTAACCAGGATCATCTCACCAACCCAACAGCACATGTATCGGTGTCATCACTGGAACCAATAAATTACCAGAAACTAGGGSCTGGTAGAATTAATTCTTTCAACCCCAATGCAGGCTATGTTGGCTTAAAGTACCTGTCAAACTATGGTCTCACCTTAACATTGATAAAAGTAATATTTAAGCATTGAGCATCTAAGAAGGGTGCAATCTTCTGTAKCTATTATYATATATAATRTATTATTAAAAGTTATKTGCAGTAACTAATTATAAATTTAAGAAACAATGCTAATGCAAAACTTCACTGGTACCTCAGGGAACTTCTGAGAGTTAAGCCATTCTTAAAGCCTAGACTTTCCTTTTTAAAATTCCTCACCAATAAGTACCTTGACAAAAAATAGTTTTCTACACTCTGTAGTATTGAGGATGAAGGGCCCAGGAATCACAGATTTTTGCTACCAAACTGTTGTAATTCATTTGCACAAATAGCAGCAGATACAGTTTTCAGCAATAATCAAAATGGTATATATCACTTGATGACATTTCCAGAATATATATTCTTGCATGTTAATGCAATGTCACTCTTGATAAATTTCACACTGATAACAGGACAGCTCAGACATCCAGAAGTATGTGCAGACTGGAAAAAAWGCAATGCTCAAGAAAAAGGAAGTTTTAAAAAATATGTTAAAAAAGGAGACAATTTCCTTATTGTAATATATTTCYACAGYTTGTGAAATAACTTYTTATTTTCTRWTTCAAAAAAGAAGTGAYTTTTGTTTCATGCTTATTGTTTCTRTAATGGCAATGGATGAGTAATGTCACAGCAGCCTACAGAGGAAAGCAGGAATGCAAATGAAGGATCACATGTTCTTTGACCACAATGGGAGATTATGAGTGGTCAGAGATGAYAGTTCTTTTATAAAGTAAAATGGAAGATTTTTTTTCTCTTGATATGCATTGAATTAACTTGATATGTTATCGAATAATCATTTTTAAAATAAACACAACTGATCAGTTCTTATTTCCTTAAGAACATCTGTAAGTAAGAGCTTGGTGGATATGAGATTGATCAATTTTAAGGACCTATTTTTGGCACTTTGTGCAATAACGAAGAATTAGTGAGGAAAAAAAAATCCTTCAATTAAATATGCTGTGTTTCAAACTAATATACCAACACAGTATAATGGCCAGCTTTGCTTTGCAGCTCTTTTCTTCAGAATACCCAAGCAGATCCAGTTAGTAATTGACTGAAATCAGATTAATTTTGGCCACCAGATCTCACAGTGCCAAGCACTACTTATTCTCATCCTTCCCCTTAGACAGTGGGATGGGAGTGGAGAGCTTTTTTTTTGACTAAATGATTACACTTACACATTCCACAGTTCACAGACCTTCTACCTCCTCATTCCCATCCTTATTGCAATCACCTCGCTTCCAGAGTCGCTGAAGCAACGTGAGACCACAAGGTGAACTGGATCACTGAGGCTCATGTCTGAAGTGTGTCCACATCACAGAATCAAAACAGACCAGAAATTATATTCCACTATGATTCCAGCAAGCAGTGTAAGCAATATGTATTTCAGCTAAGCTCAAGTACTAAAGTATTTAGCAGAGCCAACTCTGAATTGATTTTTAAATTAATCCTACCCCTGCACTGAATTCAATTAAGTCTAGTGCTCTTATCATCAACTTTGCCAAGTTCCGCATCTATCATCATGTCTATAAAGCATTCAATGCACTCTTATTTCCTGTATATCACTACTGGAAAACAGCTTAAAGCRACAAACCTTACTGAACCAGTCTGGGTTCTTCTTTTTTGTCATTGCAAGCGTGGTGCCAAAACCTGCTATCATTCCTGCTGTAGCAACAGTACCTAGAAAAAGTCCACCTGCCAAGAAAAATTGCAGAAACAAAAAAATCAAGACTTTGCTACTTAAGGGGAAGAAAAAAAAAACAACCTGTTTAGAAAATGAAATATGAAAAATTAAGATTGGTCAGYATATGCTGAAGGAAAAGGCCCAGTTGTCTACATGTTTAATACTAACTCRATGTGACAAAATAGCAAGACAAAGAATTAGTTCTATTAAACAGGACATTTTGGAAATAATGGCATGTGTATATAATTTTAATCCGCACACAAAAATTCAAATCCCAGAATACTTTTTCACAATACTTGGAAATTTCTCTCATTCCAGAGCCAGGCTACTAAAATCATCTTGTTCTATGGTTATGCCTCACCCTTCCCCACCAATTCCTCTAAAGACTATTTCATTAGCAGTGATTGTTCTTCAGCTTTATGTTCTAATATTGTATTCAAAATAGAAAGAAAGA